GGCGGTTGGGTTACCATGGTACCCAGGCCCGCCCCCCCACTGTCATTGGCTGGAGGGAGGGATGAGGTATTTCAAAAGGCAGCCAGAGCCCCACCCCCAGGACTCCAGCGGGCCCCGCCCGGGAGCACGTGGCGGCCAGAGGGTGGGGCCTCCTGCTTTCCGGCCACGCCCCCTTCATGGGGTAGTGGGAGCGTGGAGTCCCCCAGCACACAGACCCCCTGCCCGTGGCCGCGGGGCAGGGCTCGACCTTCGGGCCCAGCTCCTCCCAGCCAGATCCAGTCTGTGGCCCCGACCCCACTATGACCGCACGCCAGGGCCAGTCCAGCCACTTGTGGCTTGGGTGCTTCACTGAAGTGCCCCCCTGTTGCCGTGTCTGAATCCCTGCGCTGGATCCAGCCTGTGGGCCAGGGTGGAGGCACCCCTGCTCCAGGTGGAGGTGTTTTCGCCCCCAGGGCAGGATGCTCTGAACCTGCTGCCACATTTGCCCCGTCTCCTAGTGAGAATCACGACAGAGGGGTCTCTGCCAACCGCCCCCCGCACCTGGAGTCGTCCTCTGACGAAAAAGATCTGCTTGGCTCTTGCAAAAACATGCTTCCAGGCCTCCCGGGGGGGGGCAGACAACCCCCGATCCCGGCAGGACAAAGACCAGTAGTCGTCAGGGCAGTGTAGCGCAACAGGCCCCTGGCTGCCTCCTCTATCATCCTCAGCTCCGGTCTCTTGTGTGCCTTCGTCCTTCATCCACCGTCGATGTCTATAGGTCTGACACCACATCGCTCGTCCATCGTCTCCTGGTTGTCCAGGCGCCCTTCTCCCCTCGCGGACCCCCAGGAGCACTTCCTCGGTGTCCAGATCGCTTCCGATCTTTCCACGTGGCCCAGGCGCTGCCGTCTGCTCCGGTGTCCTGAGTCAGGACAACTGGCAGAACTTGTTATTGGTTCTTACGCACCATTCCTGTGTTGTGAAGCTGAACCGACCCATTTCTAATGTCTGATGGTTTTCAGCTGCTGCTGCCAGACCTCTGGAAACACTCAGCGCGTTCTTGGCACGCAGCTGCTTGCTCGGTTCCTTTCCCCGTGAGTGTACGTTTCCCCATGTCTCCGATTCAAAAAGAAAGGGATGTCAGGTTTGCTCCCCACAGCCTCAGAGGAGCTTAGTAGCTGCGTCTGGCCTTCGGCATCGCATAAGGAGGATCTGCAACTCAGGGAGGTAGGAGAGAGAAATGAAATGATGAAAAGAGAGGAGTGGAGGAATTGAGGAGGAGCAAGAAATAAGCTAGATTAGTAGGTGTGGGAACTACAGGCCAAAAGGTGGAGATAGGAGAAAATAACAGTGGTTTAGGGGAGTCAAATTAGCAGCAGCTGGGAAAAAGATGGGGCGGCTGAACACTGCAATGTGCCACAGAGCTTTCACATGTGGCTCTGTCTAACCAGCCCTATTCTTACCCTGCCACGGTGTAGACTTACAAATCAGAACTCCAGAAGAAAAGAACGTGATACCACAGAGTTAACACTGCCATGTGTTTGGAGAGACATATCCCTTCTGGCCTACCTGCAAAGTACTTATAGTCCTGACGCTGCTGCACTGAGCCCGGTAAGAGCGACCCTTGTGCATGCAGTTTTGTTGCTGTTTCAGCAATGTGGTTCTCTGCAAGGTCAGGACTGTAAGATGCAAAGAAAAAACGTGGCTGGGCCAGGGGTTGGCAACGGTGTTTTGGTTGGAGTGCCAAAAACACCCCACCCTTTGACTTATAAGATGCTGGCATGCCAGGGGCAGGTGGTGGGGAAGCCATGAGGGGCCCAATCCTTGTTTTGGCAGCACAGCCATGCCCCTGCCCCTCCCCACTGTCCACCTAGAGGTATGTCTGCACCTGCTGCCAGCAATGAGCTGGGCCAGGGCTCCACAGACCTCAGTGCAGCAGTTTGCAGCCGGCCTGCTGCCTTTTGTGAGTAGCCCAGGCTGCATGGCTAGCAGCAGCTGCCTGCCACAGAGCCTGGGCTGCTCGCAGCAGAGCTCGCAGCCTCCCTGCCACCTGCTGAGAGCAACCCCGGCTGCGTGGCCAGCGGCAGCTGCTCAGAGCCAAGGCAAGTTGTGACATACAGGCAACATGGCCTCGCATGCCATGCTCTGGTACATGTGCTGGGGGTTGCCAACCCCTGGTCTAGGCCTTTTGTTGTTTTACACAACAGAAATAAAAGCCCCGACAACTTTTCCTGACAAGATTTTTCTTTTAATGAGAAATATCAGGTCTTGACATTTTCAGATTTCCAAGAAGTCCTCCAGCAAAATGGGGAAACTAGTAAGTTTCTGTTATATCAGCAGCCTGAAAAATGAGTAGAAATTTTGACTCTTGAATACTCTGAATTTGTTCAGAGCACCTGATTACGCACCTGATTAAGGTATGGGCAGAAAAAAAGAAAAATCCCCACAACCCATCTCTTGACTTAGCGGCTGAGAGAAGTCACTCCTGCAGCAGTTGTGTACTCAAGGTGAGATAAGGCTTGGTCGTTCTAAAAAATAAAGTTCTCAAGATCCATCCAAAAGAACAGATTTACTAGAAAGTAAACCATCTCCCAAAAGACAAAAATATTTTCACAGAAAGAACATTAAGCTTGTAACCAGAGACTAATACTTTTCACCCACCCACTTAGTGCACGAAACCAAACTGAAAAGTGTCAAAAGGATTGTGTCAAAAACAATCTAGCCTGTTAATTTCTTACACAGACGCCTCATGCTAGGAGCATACATCAGCAGAAATAAATGTCCACAACTGAGGTGACCTTTTAACAAGAGCAGAATTACTGACTAAATTAGAGGCAGAGAGTAGGAGAAAAGCATAGCGCAAACATGACAGAGAAATGTCTGTTCAGCAACCTGATGGGGAAACGGAAACTGTGATGCGTTCTATTCCTGCCTCAAAAAGAAAAAGGAATGAAAAAACACTTATTGTCAATGATGAGAAATGACAAAGGATTCTAAAGGTGATGAGGAAACACTTTCATAACCCCAGAAAACACGAGAGACAAGACACAACTGGCCTGACACTAAGCATAGGCGACAGATCAGAACTGGCCAGCAGTGATAAATGGATCTGGGTGTGAGGTTGTAAGGACCACTTTGCAGATATGTCCTGGTAGATGCATGACCGTTGACAGCCAACAGAAACCCTACTGCGTGGGTAAAAGGATAGAATATATTTTTAGCATTA